AGAACTTAATGGCTTGTAAGGCAGCATTTGGATTTTCATCTTGTTCAGCTTTTCTGTAATCAGACACATCCTACAATGAAACTAAGTCAAAAGAGAAGCTGTCACGCCTTGAGATGGTGACCTTCAGTGCGGGAAAATCACATGGCAACCTTCCCCAGATATTTTTTTGAGATTAAATGGGCGTGACATTTAGAATAATATCGTAAATTAGAGAAAACAACCTTTATTGTAAGTGCACAGCAAGACTAAGATGAGAAACTATGCCGAAGTGACAGCACAACAGGTGAGTCACAACAACAATAACATAACCTCTCTTTTATCATAACCCAACGAGAGTGTACTTGATAGACATTTGTCTGAGACTGATGCTACTGCATTAAACTTTAATAAAAGGAGTGATTTCAGAGGACTACTTACGTTATTTGGGTGTTGAGGAGTCTAAGCCAGGGCGTTGGTAGACCTTCAAGCAGCCCTGTCTCCTTATTCTTACTGACATGAAATTCGTGAGAAACATTGGTCGGCAGGCCTATCTCTGTAGGCCCCTCGTTCACATGCTTCTTTTTAGAGAAAAACTTTGAAAATCCTAAATTCATCTCAAAATAAAATAAGACGAAGTCCCCGACATAAACACCACTGAGCAGTCGACACTAATAAAAATACATTGGCCCCCCCACTGCGATTCGAGATTTGGGTCGAGGTCAGTGTCGAGATGTATCGAGGGGGAAGAAAAGTAGGAGTCGATACCGGGTGAAGAGGGAATTTCAAGTCAAGTCAACAAGAGAGGTAACACGTTCTTCCGCGTCCGACCCTACAACCCCACAGCAACAACGAGGTAAAGCAAAGTCAGTAGAGTAGGCTACAGTGAACTGTGGAGACCGTTAGGCCGTTAGACACACGAGTCGAGCGCGTGGATGGGGTGGGGGCGGTAGTACCTGAAGTAGATTGATACGAGTATAGGTCCAGGCCGATAAGATGGGTGACGTACACGGGTCGTTCGTTAAACCTGCTCTTATCGCCGTCCGGCTCGGCGCCGTGGCTGCGGCATACTCTCACATCCGCTGGCGTGAGTGCGGCCGGCCCTCGAAAAGGCACACGTGTGCAATGTGAGACTCGCACCCCATCCTTTTTGTAAAGTGCCAATCAAGTTTCTGGAGTCGTCAATTTGATGTAAATTATGACAGAGGACGCAATTTTGATTCAATTATGTTTCAGAAGGTGTGATATTTTTTTAGAGTAGGTCTATCGTATCGTTGTTCGGCTGCGGGAAACTACTAGACTTAAGGTGGCAAAGAAGAGGGTCCGTGGTAGGTCTTATCTAGAGTCCATGGACAGTCGTCAATAAACGGCATATTTATTGTCATCTACTTGCTTGCTACCCAGTGCAGAGCATACAAAAATGCCATAGACGCTGAAAGATGGGGGTCTCTCACCATATTTCCAGCAGCTTCGCAACCGCATGCAGTCGTGCGGACGGGTTGCATACTCACGCGTAGCCTTATGGCGCCGTGGTGAGCGGTGGTAGGCAAGCCCGCCCACACGACTGCATGCCGTACAGTAGAAGCAAAATAAAGGAAGGGGTCTATGGACCACCCTGTAAATTAGGGTCCACCCACATTTTAACGACTCAGAAACTATTCCTGAACCAACTCTGTGTCCGCCCCTCCTGTGCTTCCTCGAACCATTCAGGGACCATTTGGAACGCACAGAACTTACTTGTGATAAATATTCATCTCCTAGTTTAGAAGCACCGCAACTAGCAAGACAAAATCTGAGCTACATAGCGATGGTGAGCTAAATTTTCTCCTATTTGCTTTCTTTTGCAGTTGACGCAATACGTTCAACTTCAAACAGGCGCGACAGCCCTCCCTCGTCGTCTCTAGTGATTCGCCTGAAAGGTAGCCAAGTTGCGCTCCAATATACTCCTGTGTTCAGGCAACCCAAGGTGCATCGCCCCCTATGCCGCTCCTGACTCCCGTCTAACGTCCGCCCGCGGTCGGGAAGGCCCTCCCTCGGTCCGGCCCCGGCCAGAGGACGAGTCGCTGCCTCTACTTGAAAAGGTTGAAATTCCTCTCATGCTGCCCCTTCTTCTGTTCTGGTCTGCGACCGCTGGTCGAAACTTAGAACTCAGCCAGCCGCGGCGGCAGGGGCTGCGGCGCGGGGCGCGGCGGCTGGCTCTGTGCCCCGTGCCTCTGTTTGCTGTAGCGCCGAGTCCGCCGAGTAGCACTCGGGAGGGAGGAGGGAGGGCCGCGCGGTGTGGCCTCCCCACCGTGCGGCACAGGCCTAGAGAAAACCTCAAGGTTTGGAAGAGTAAAATAGTAGTAGTATTCGTGGTTTTGTGGCGGCTGTGCCATCAGTGACCGGTGACGGGCTCTGACGGGGAGGAGCGGGTGCGAAGCACACGCGGGGGTGGCACGGCGCGGCGCGGCTGTGTGCCGGGGGTTACAACAACGCTCCGCCACGCTCCGCTCGGCCGCGCCACGCCAGGCCACGTCCTCGCACTCTTTTGCGGACAGGTTGAAGTGCGCGGGGTATGGAGCGGTGGCTGCCTGGCTGCGCGGCCGCCGCGCCCCGCCCCGGCTGCCAGCCCGGCTGCCCGCTGATCGATACGGCGGTATGGTGGAGCCAACTGGAGCCTCGGAGTGAGGGGTGGCGTGGGGCGGGGCGGGGCGGGGGTAGAGGAGAGAGGGCGAAGGTGGTGGAGGACTCCAGAGCGCCCGAGTCCCGGTGGACGGCGCGGCGGCGGTTGCCGTGGCAACAATCTCCCGTGCCAGCATCAACATTACGTTTTACGCGGAGGAAAGAAGTGATGGCGCGTCCCAGACGTCTCAAGCGGCCGAAAAGGCCAGCGGCCTGTGTCAGAGGGAAGGGCTCCCGGGGCGGTGGGGTTGTAGAGAGGGGGCGAGGCACAGATGCGCTTCCGCCGGGCCCCGCGCCGCAAGGCATACCCGGCGCGGGCCGAGGGGCCGAAGGGGTTGGGGCGGCTGACGCGGGGAGCGGGGGCGCTTCTACTTTCGCGTCGTTTGTAAGCTTGATAGACACCCTGTGCTCCATAAGGCCTGATTGCATCTCCGCCGCCGGGCCGGCCGCTGTAGCTCCCAGCCGCGCCGGCGCCGCATGCTGCATAGACTCTTCGCGTCCTCCAGCAGGCTGCGGGGCAGGGCAGGGGCGCGCACGACCCGACCCGGAGGGTAGGCAACCCGCAGCGATGGACCGCCCTTGTGCGCTTCCTTGACGCGGGGTGGGAGGGGAAGGAGGGGGATCGATTCAGCACGCCGTTACCAGATGCGTAGCGTGTATGTGAGTGTGTGAGAGAGAGAGAGAGGCAGAGAGAGAGGCAGAGAGAGAGAGAGTGTGTGAGAGAGAGAGACAGAGAGAGAGAGAGACAGAGAGAGAGAGAGAGAGAGAGAGAGAGAGAGAGAGAGAGAGAGGGGGGGGGGGCAGAGAGAGCGTAGGTGCGAGCACGCTGATGAGGCCCTAGCAATGCGGCACCTGTGTGTATGGCCACACGTCCAGGCGCACTGTG